AGAGTTCGATCATTGCCTGTGTCTAGAACTGTTGAGTTCTCCTTTCATAAGTGCAACGAATATTTTGTCAAGAGGTGGGAACTTACATAGAGGAATATAGCTGAGCAGGGGCGTTTTGGAAAGGCCAGAGCAGAACATTTGAAGGAGGCCGAGGAATTAGACAGCAGCACACCACCAAGCCATATGGACCCCGCCACCATATCTTTAGTGTACGAGGAAAGGGTGGCACAAGCTTGGGCGGCAAACGTTATGGTGGACGAAACTACCGAGTTGATCTTGAAAAAGTAGAGTGCAGTTGTAATGTCCCTCAGATCATGCATGCCTCTTGCTCTCATATGATCACAACCTGCATGGTTCGTAGGTAAAACTATGAGGATCTGCCATATATGTCACCCTTGTATCTTTATTCCAACATCGTTAGTATTTGGGAAAGGAGCTTCGAGCCATACCTTCACCTGACATAGTGGCCACCTTATCATGGTTATGACTACGTGCCGCATCCAGATCTAATGAAGGTAGGCATGGGTAGGAGGAAGAAGAAGCGACTCAAGGGGGACATGGACGCTATGAGAGAGTACGACGAAGACATGTACGGAGGGAGAGACTTCAACGAGACCCGTGGCAGGAATGTTTGCTCCATTTGCAAAGAACCTGGTCACAAGGCTAGCAAGCATAGAAGACAAGGGCAGCAGGTGCATATAGCATACATTTTATTATATTAATGTTAATTGTTTGCTATGCTATTTAAAACTACTATGTTAGTACATTGGAACCTTGGATCTATGTTTATTATGATATATGTTTATTCTCTAATTTTACATAATAGTTTATTCCTTTTACATTTACTTTGTTTTTTACGCACTAATGTTCCATCATATTGTAGTACTCTTAATGTTTGTTCTAACATATCCATTTGAAATTTGAACAAGGATGGGGGATCATCATCCGTAGTACCCCATTCTTGAGGTGCACTACGACAAGGACCACCGAGCCAAGCGCCTGTCGGAGTTTCAGGAGGACTTGGTACCTCCTAGACTACGCACGCACCAGCCGCACTGCTAGGACGAGCGATACCGGCCGTACATACAGCGTGCCGACTTCCTTGAGATCATCTAGGACTTCAACACTGGGCTACCGATCCTCGACCCTGCACTTCTCATTGCTGTTATTGATAGGTATGATTTTATACACGTTTGCGACAGTATAAAGCATTGATTTGTCTCATTGTTTGAATTAAAAAACTTCTTGTATTAAATTAAAAACCAACAGGTGGAGGCCAGAGATCCACACCTTCCACCTTCCGTGTGGCGAGATGACTATCACGATGCAGGACGTGAAGATGGTACTGTGTCTGCGATTGGGGGGGTCTTCCAGTGACTGGGATCCTTGATAACGATCACTAGATGGACTTGGTGGAGCAGCTCTATGGCAGAAGACCACCCGAGGACGAGGATGCTAAGAGAGCAAAGTAACAAATCTACGTTCCAAACATTTACCATTTTGACACCAGCACATATTCTGCAAATTATTTTGCTATTTAGATGGAGGGTGTAGTACATAACTTTTATAATGTGTATTGTCTTTGTCTAATTTAATGTTTGTTTTTGTTCCCTCAGCTCTCATGTAACATCCGGTGTCAGCTCTAATTTAATGTTTGCAAAATATTTTAGGAAAACATCCGGTGTCAGTTCGGTCTGGATAACAAAAAAAAATTGGGGCGCCGCTGCACCCAAATGCTCCAGAGCAGGAGATCGAGAGGTATGCTAGGTTGTGGCTGTGGCACTTCTTAGGCGCCTTCCTGTTCCCCGACGCGTCGGGTAACACCATCAACTGGGCCTTCCTCAACGTACTAAGCCAGCCATGGAAAAATATAGGAGCGTACAGCTGGGACAGCGCGGTCCTAGCATGGATCTATCGTCAAGTCTACGTTGCCTGTCGATGCAGTACAGGAGGTGCCAACCTAGAAGGTTGTTCCCACCTACTACAGGTTTGGTGTTGAGAACGATGGCCAGTCGGGAGGCCCGTTGTTCACGGTTTACCTGTAACTGCATCGATTTTTTATTTTTCTTAAAGTTGACGCCGCACTTGTGACTGACTATCCTATTCAATGTAGGCATGGAATTACATGGACGTAGGATCGACTGCTCTATACGTCTGGCAAGAAGCGGAGGTAGGGAGGGGGCCGGCAAGGGAAGAAAATTCGGTGGCCGGCCGTGGGGGAGCCGGGAGGCAATGGCGCGGTGGTGCGGACTGGGAGGCGCGGTGGCGGGGGATGGGCGGCACGGAGGCGACTGTTGTGCAGCGTGGAGTGAAACAGAGAGGGAGGAAAGGGACTACGCCGCGGGGCTCTATTTGGCTCTGCCGCGCCCTGACGGGTGGCGCGTCACAGCCGCGCCCTGATCGGTGGCGCGGTAAGGCCTGCCACGTCAGCAACCAGTGGGGCGGGACGTTGCCACGTACGCACCCCTGCCGCGCCGCCATGTATGGCGCGGCAGAGTTGTTTTGCCGCGCTCTGGAAATAGGCGCGGCCAAAAGTGTTACAATTAAAAAAAATAAACAGTGTTAGAATTAAGAATAGTTAAAAAAAGTGTTAAAAATTAAAAAAATCCTAACCTAGAGATGGCGCGCCACCGCTAGGCCCTTCTTGCAGGAGACGCCCCCGACGAGGCAGACGATGCGAGCGTCTGTGATGCCACCGGAGCCGGTCGTCAGAGCTTTACACCGCGGTGCGTACGTGCTATGTTGTGGGGCCCTCCACCAGAACGGTGGGTCCCATTGCTGCAACGTGCAGCGCATGCAAGTGTCGTCCTAGGGAGACGTGTGTGGAGGCTGTGTTGCGTTCATGGACGCCTCCGAACCTCTCCTCTATCGGGCCACCAACGCCATGTGCAAGAATGCTACTGTTCTTTGCAGAGAGTTGGGGTTGGCCCTTCCACGTGCCCAGCCATTTGGTACTGTTCTCTGCTTTTCAGGTTCCTGTTTTTCAGCTGGACGGAAATGCGGAAGTGGCAAAGCTACTCCTGGTATTCGGGTAGTCCGCCGATTCTCGTCAAAGCCGGTCCTCAGATTTAATATCAAGAGAAGTAGTGCCAGCCTCTTGAGTTAGGTGAAGCTCGATCATACAAGATCTACGACTCAAGATCTCAAATCCTTACAAACACATGGCCGATCAGACAGTCGAGGGAGCGTCAACTGTACTATCGGAGTGCAACAGAGAGGATACCCGATGTGTCCATCGTGGCCATGTCTCCGTCACAGTCCGGCGCCCCTGATAGCAGTAGAAAAATAGATCATCTCCTTCAAGAGCGACGGATGCCCAAGAGGATCGGCTTTTTAATATGAGTCATTCGGTTGATTCTTTTCTAGTAGCTAGGGAGCTACACCTCTGTTCTTTGGGACGAACAATCCCAAAACTTTGTACTCCGTTCTAATTGTTATAATGTATGGGGTATGTGTTGTTGTAAAAAAACAATTTACGAAGGTGGTCGCTAGATGTGTCCACATCCGTTAATGTTTGGGTCTACCTCGCAAAATTATTTTGACAGTAGTGCATTTTGGCTGAATAATAGAGGAACAGAGTAGTTTGGAGAGTGAGAAGCTGAAGCCGCAAAAAGTGACTCTTTCTCAAGTGTTTCGGCTCCTTTATAGGCCCCGTTCGCTTCGCTGAAAAAATATTGTTCTCGCTGATTTGTTGTGAGAGAAAAAAACTGTTCCGACTAAAAAAACAAGCTGAAAAGTACAAATTATAAGAGAAACGAACAGGGTCATAGGGCCATAGAAGTAATGAAGGAAAAAGTCGTGTCAAACACACACTAAATGATGATTTAGGGACTAGGTTTTATACCTTATTCGAAAGGGCTACTCCCTAAATACCCTTGCGGCGAAGTCATTTTCAGTCTTTTTTTATAGAAAAATGTCTCAAAATAACTTCTACTAAATCATTTTATAGACATTTTTTTTAGAGAAGCTAGAGCCGAGTGACGCTAGAATCCAAAAATCAACACTCTCACGATGTCACCGTATTTCGAAGTGGACACCGTCCCACCGCTCACCACTCAGATTGCAGGCGGGGCGGGTTCTTCTACGAGCCCGCATAGCTGCCCCGCGAGAATGCTTTTTGTGGCCCATGTGGCTCAGCTGCAAAGTATTTATGGCTCAATATTGTCGACTCCGCAAAGCCCACCGGACGAGAGGACAAACCCGCAAGACCCGTGAGAACCCGCATTCTCTCTGTCTCTGCGATGGTCCGCGATGGTGAATGGTCTAGCGCGGTAGCATCGCCGCCGCCGCCCCCTTCTTCTGCCGAGCTCCGCCTCGCGCTTGTACTGCCCGTCGACCACCCCGTCGTCCTGGGGTAGTCGCCTCGCTCGTTGCCGTCGCGCTCACGGTCGTCCTCCTGTACCCCGCGGCTACTTTGGCATCTGTCGTCTGTCGATGCGTCCACTGCTCCCCGCCGGTTCTTGATGTGGAGGGAGCGGCGGCGGCCGCTGCTCCGGATGCACTACCACGACTGCTTCGTGCAGGTAAGCGCTCGCAAGCATCGCATCCATGGATTAGGCCGTGGTACGACGTGGAGACCAGGGCCGGACTCCAACATCGTGGACGTGAAGACCTTCTTCAGCGTCAAGTCCTCTTCGGTAGCTGCCGCCGTCCTACTTCGCGGGGCAGGCGGGCAAATGGTTCCTGCCGGACCAGCGGGCCGGGACCGAGGCGTGGACGGTGGAGGAGAACAAGATGTTCGAGTGCGCGCTGGCGCGGGTCAACGGGGACGCGCCGGATCGGTGGGAGCGGGTCTGAAGAAGGAAGACGCCATCCTACCTGTGGACGCTTGCGGACGTTAGTGGGCTTACCCGCTAGTCCCACTGGCCGTTCGCGGCGATTGCCTTGCGGCTGGCGGACTCTCGCGTAGCCCGCTTAATAGCTTAGTGGCTGGTGGACGGTCCACGACCCGCCCCGCCTGCAAGGTTACTCACCACCGTCCCGTACTCCCGTCGCATCCCATGGACTGGTCAACCCTCCCCGACGACGTGGTTCGCCTCGTCTCCGGCCGCCTCCACGATCCGCTCGACTTCCTACGCCTCCGCGCCGTCTGCCGTGCTTGGCGCTCTGCCGCCGCCTTCCCTCCTCCCTTCCTCCCCTGGCTTCTCGCCTGCCCCTGCACCGCCCATCCCAGTGACCCCACCGCCGCAGCCCTCTCCTCTCTCGCCTCTGGCGACGTCCGCTCCGTGGTCGCCCCCTCGTCCTCCCACCGCCTCCTCGGCCCAACCCGCTCCCATCTCCTCCTCTCTGATAATCCCCGACTCCTCCTCAACCCCCTCACCGGCGCTCGGCTCCCCCTCCCTGACTCTCCCTTCCCCGCTTCCAGCCCCGTCATCCAAGGCTACCTCGTCCGCACCGCCGACCACTCCCCGGCGCCGGTGGTTCTTTGCAACGCCAAGAAGCTCTACTTCCATTTCTGCCACCCGGACCCGGCCAAGGGTGGACCTACAGGCCTCGGAGTCGGAGATGGTGATGGTTGGGCGGAGCTGCCGGTGCCAGGCCTTGTCGCAGAGAACATTTTCCACAACGGGAAGCTGTATGTGTGCGATGATCAAGGCCACGTTATGGTCTTTGACGCGGCCACGTTGGCCGTGCTCGGGGCTGTGCCGCCGCCTTTGCCACAAGTCGCCCCTCCACGCAGGGATGCCTTCGACTGCACCGCCCTGGTGCCATCTGGAGACGAGTTGCTGTGCGTGATCCGGCACTTCGGGAAGGATGGGCGTGGGGAGTTACTGGAGGATTGCGGCAGTTTGAAGGTTCACCGGTTGGATATGGAAATTGGACAGGGGCATGATCAGTTGACACAATTGCCACGGTGGGTTCAGATGAGGAGCATTGGTGATCGTATGCTATTTATTGGGCTGTTCCAGGGGTTCTCATTCAATGCCTCGGATTTCCACGGATTTAAGGGGATTGCATCTATTTCTTCAAGTTGGAGAGGGACAAGAGGTCTTCCATCTACAGGTTTAGTAGCATGGAAGATGGCCACACTGAGGAGCTGCCTGGCCCGTGGATGCATGCTTGCACTTGGTTTGCGCCGAGCTTGTCTTAGCACTTGCTATGGACAAGCGGGGTAAGCTTCCATTGCTTGTACATTGCGGTTGTAGGCTGTTTGGTTAAGAAATTAGTGTTGATTCTCCAAGATATTGTTCTGAGATCATTGTTCATGCATTCTGCTGCTGCATACAATTATCTGGTGAAGCACATATTATCAGAAATAGATGTGTAGAGTGATAGTCTGTGAATATGAATCAAAAGTTTTGATAACTTATTGATTAGTCATGTACATTTCAAATAAGATTAGGAAATTTCTCTTGGATCTCAGTTCATCAAGTATTGTAACAAATTAAATGTACTTAAGCACAAGAAATTATGCCTCCATCCAGCTGCATATAAAACTTGCAGTTATTGTTACCATATATTCTTTCACATTTCCATAACTTATCTGCTGACATGGTAAACATCAACATTGCACTTGAAGGGGAAAAAAATGCAATGTGCCTATGCTCTGTGGACAGTACTTGCATGCAAACATACTCTGAATAAGCTACACTGTGCTAATTGTCTCCATTCTCTTCAGTGGTATAGAAATAATATAGTACTGTGGAGTTTTCAGATAACTACAATTCTATCTGAATAGTGAACTCTCCTTGATTCCGACCTTTTAATATTGAAGTAAAGTTACTAAATTCACCTTCCTAGAATCCTTCCCATACAGTGCAAATCCTATTAATAAGAGAAACAATGTAGTTCAGACTTATGGGTGTTATTTCTCAGAATAAAAGTGCAGATATGGATGCCATATCTGTAATTACCTTTCTCTTTCTTAATTTGGCTGCATTACTATCAAACTGTGGTAATACCACAAGTACTTCAGTTTTATTTTCTGCATGTGAAAGGAATTCTAACTGAATAGATCTTCCTACTGACATATGAAATGAGAAACTGTCATTAACGAGCTATTAGATTTTTACGGTTTTTGGGAAATACTAATATTTTCCCTCTAGTTTAAATATAAAAAACATATATGTGCTTTTGCTAATTTTTTTGTGATGCTCAAATATTCTTAAATGGTTGCAAGACTTTGGCTCCTTAGCTCCTGCGGATACATGGCAACCTTAAACTAGTACTGTATGAAGCATGTCAATGACAAATAGTTTGCTAATCCTTGTTCACCTTTCTGTGGAGATTTTTGCAAATCTGCCATAGCATATTGTATTAGTTAGCATTTCGTCAATCCAAGGTTCTACATGTCCTAGTGAACTATCGAAATCTGTTCATCATCTAATAAAATCATCAAACGGAAGATTAGACAGCTAAGAAATCAGTGGGGTGGCAGAGAAATGCAGGAACATTTTATGCATTTATCTGGATGCTGGAGCTGGCACATGCAGATTTAACAGTGGAGACCTCCAGACTGAAGTTGATTGAAGATCAGTGTGATGAGGCCTTTGTCGAACAGTCTTGACACAGCAGTTGTATTCATGGCTGATGATGAAAAGGGATGCATGATATTTTTGACATGGAGAGCCCTAAATGGCTAAATCATCATTCCTCCATGACAGAAGTGTAAGCTCTGGCCTACAAGGAGGCTTAGCATGCACACGCCGCATTGTTGTGTAGTACTGCAGCAGAGTAGAGCATTATCTCAAGCTGACAAGCATGCAGGATACGTCCAGCATGAGGATCATTATCTAGGAGGTGAATGAATATTGCAGACCTGCCCTGCCAAAAGGTTTAGGTTCATTTTTTAAGATAAGAAAATAGACAATAGCAAAATAAAGGTAGTACATGAGCTAGGTCAGTTCCTAGTGCGATCTACCTTCATCAAATCCCTTGTACTGCTGACTAATCCATGATGGGTTTTCCCCCAATGAGTTCATATTAACATATACTGTTCCCTGTTAGCATTTAGCATCCACTAGAAAATCATTAAGAGTAAACATAAAATAACATGTATGTTGATTAGTAACAAAAAAGGAAATATTGCCTACTACATGATTATTACTATACTAGAACAGAAGGTATAGAAAGTATTATTTTAGTAATTTCGGTGTGTATGATGGGGAAATGCCCTGAAAAGTGCAGATAATGTTGGAAGATTTCAGGAATTCTGGATAAATTTACCAGATACGGGGACCATGCCAAGATCAAATTCAGTCAGGTTCAAAGGTACAAGGAAAAGATATGCATTGTTTTACTTTTCAGCTAACATCTGTCGATTTTGTGTCAAATAATGCAAATATGCAATTGAGGCTATGAATGAACCCTGTTGGCAGACCTCATTTACCAAGCCATCAGAGAACTGTCTGAGTGCTGCAGGCAAGGCTTCCTTCCTGGCATCATTGCATAATGCATATTATGCTTGGAGGAATTGGATATTGTGGGGGGGCTGGTATGTGGATGCCCGAGACTGAGAGGTTCTCACACCTACATACTCCTTCCGTTCCAAATTATAAGGCGTTTTGTCTTTTCTAGATACATTACTTTTACTATGCCTAAGTGCATGACAAAATCTGCGTATCTAGAAAAGCCAAAAAGTCTTATAATTTGGGATGAAGAGAGTACTAACCTACCTCCTCGTGAATAATAAGAGGAAAGAAGGTTAAACTCTCTGTCATCTAGCGAAATTTTCTGGTATCATAATTTTTTTCTGCAAGATCTGATCAGCGAAAGTAGGGTGCCACTGTATATTACTTGGCCTAAAGTTTTTATGCATCTTATACAGTGAATGACTACAAGTTTTTTCTTTTGAAGAAATGAACGACTACAACTCATACCACCAATGCTGCACATATTCTGTTGAGATTGACACATGTTTATTCTTGAGAATTTTCTTTTCATATAGTCTACTGTTTGACCAGATAAGCATTGTTGCAGCTTAACAGATGTGATTTACGGTTATGTTACAAATAAGCATCAGAATAGATGTATTGCTCTTGACTAATCTGCTTATGTACTCTACAGAAGCATCACAAAAACATATATATTTTCAGAAAGAGTTTAGCTTGAAGTACCAGAAGTGTGAACTTCGTTGAAACTAAGCTGCTGTAAACTTTTGTACGATGTGTTTCAAATTTCTTACTGTGTCCATTACTTATCCCATTAGGGCACATTTAAATGGAGGTCATTTGCATCCAAATTTGTAGGATTTAGTTAAATTTGATGGAAATACCCAATTTACTAATACAATCCTCTTGCAACTTCTTCCCTTGTATTGGTTTGATGACCTTTTCTTGTTTGTTACTATATCTTTAAACAATGATTGATTAGTTATTGATATGTGTAATCTCGTTTGATTGTTTTTCACAGCTGCAGTTCCACATCAAAAGCATTTAGATTGCATGAGAATTGAGAACCGCATTTCAAACAGACATCAGCTGTAAGGAACTTCCCTATACACATCACCAAAGTAAGCATTCCTGATGCACCTTACTTGAGGGTTAACAAAAGATGAATCTTTATTGAATGTGTTGGTGACGGTACCTCAGTTGATATTGGAGTCATTAATGGGAACCAACTTGTACCAGGCTGCAAACCCTTGGGCCTCCTTGATGATATTACTGCTCAGAGTGTTGATGAGCATGTGGTCCCAGGATGTATAATTAGTGTAATGCAAAGTCAAGCGTACTTTGTGGCTAAGGGTGTGTTTGGTTGAGCTGTGGCTGTGGAAAAAAACTGATGTGGGCTGTGAGCTGTGGGAAAGCTGCTGTGGGCTGTGAGCTGTAGAAAAACTGAAAGCTGTTTGGTTAAACAAGTATAAAATATACCTTCTATCTTTATCTCTCTTGAAACAACTATGGAAGAGCTTTTTATTCCACTAATTTCGAAAAGCAGAAAGCAGAAAACCAAAAGCAAGGTCAAACCAGCTTTCAAAAATGTACTACAGAAAAGCAGCTGCTTCTGAAAAAGCAGCCTCCAAGAATAGCCCTTTTGGTTGGGCTTTTGGCTTTTGGGGCCAAAAGCCAAAAGCCCAACCAAACGGACCCTAACATAGCTTCTGGGTTGCAAGTAGTGATTGGGTGAGGGATAGAGGATTTTTTTCTGGCTTGACCATATGAGAAGTGGAGAAATAGTCAACCTTGTCAGCTTATGATATGTTGGCAAATGACAAGAAAGGTTAGAGCAGCACAGAGCGGCTTCCATGGGGCTGTTGTATGATGAACAGAAATACTTAAAGCAAAGCGCATGGTCTCTCTCTCCCTCGCTCGATTCTGCCCAAATTTCATTTAGTGTGGTTGCTGAGAATAATTTTTTTTTTACGAGAAACAATTTATTTATTCAACAGCATCAACTGTTACAGATTGCAGTGCATCCTGAACTGGGCACCGATTGACATGATTTGTGTTTGAACAAACACATGAAACATTTGGAGGCAAAGACCTCATATCTAGAAGCGCCTGTCTAGCTAGAGAATCAGCAGTTTGATTTTGGCTCCTTGTTATCTTGAAGGTCGATGTGCTTCTGTATTGCGTGTAGTCGATGAAGTGCCGAGTGAGGTATTTGATTCTCCAGTCTGGTGGGTTGGAGTGATCATTGGCATTGAAGAAGGATACAAGCTCCTGACTGTCAGATAGAAAGTTTGTGTGGTGTAACTGTAACCGGTCCGTGACTGCTGCACCAAGTGCCATGGCTGCTGCCTCAGCCATTAGGACCGAGGTGGAATCAGTCATGGAAGCCTTGATGTAAATGTTCTGAGATGGATGGACCTGTGTATTGATAATGAGCACTCCAAGGCCAGCATTTTTTGTTGGCAGAGCGGTTTGGTCAGGCAAAGTTGATGCATCTGTGTAGCATCTGGATCCTTGCAAGGTTCCCGGAAGTTGGACAGTGAATCTGTCCGTGTAGTTCAGGCCGGGCCTGTGCGTCGGTTGCCGAGATGTTGTGGTTGTGCTAGATCCTTGCAAGGTTCCCGGAAGTTGGACAGTGAATCTGTCTGTAGTTCAGACCGGGCCTGTGCGTCAGTTGCCGAGATGTTGTGGCTGTGCCGGTTCCTGCAATTGACGGATTCATACCTTGGCTGCCGGAGGCGACATCGCTGTATGCATGTTCCGTACCCACGTGGCTGTTATTATTGTTTGTAATTGGTTGTACTCCTGTAGGAACGTAAGATGTACTTTGGACTGAATTTGTACGGAGGCAGTGAGAGCGCTGATTGTAGCTGTGGCGCCATAGTTGTAGGCCTGCACCGGTGTCTTGTTTTCGGTGCTGCTCTTGTGTAGGAGTTGTAGCAATGGTGTTCGAATCATTATCTTCTTTCGGTGCTGAGAATAATTGTTGAAAGGAGACTGGCTACTACGTTGTGCGGTGTGTGGGCCTTTTTTTTGCGACTTGCGGTGGGTAGGCCTTGTGGATGTCACAAAATTACAGATGCCATGCAAAGGGATCCCCATCTCTTGTACAGTGCATCAACCTGGCACGAGATACAGACACAAGAGTCGGTGGACACTCGTGCAAGGAATTCTGGATAGACATCAAGTAGCACAAATCCAGGAGATTGGAAATCACTAGAGATAGGGTGGATGACAGTAACTTCTGGGTGACCATTTGAGGCTGAAAAGCATCTGGGTTGTCATGGTTGAAAAGTAGAATGACTTCCTCTTTGTCCTACAGCCTGAACTAGAAATCAGTTGACAAGTACACTGGAATCTGGACTATTGTAAAATCAGACATGTGATTGTGGCCAAAGTTATGGATACCAGAAGTCAACTCAAGAGTAGAAATCTCTCCAATACAGGCAAAGAAGAGCTTCTACTGAAGTCTGGACTTTGTTTTGTGCGAGGAGATGCACAGTCAGCTGCTCATCTCTGCGCAAAAAAGGCCAATTGTCTCTCTTAGGCCAATATCGATGACGGTTTCCCAAGAGTTTCATAAGCATTAAATAAGTTGGTGTGGCATAATATTGATACAGACAAATATGATAAAAGTTGCATGGGATGAAATAAGTTTCATAGGAATAAAACTTGTCTACATTGTTTCCAAAACATTTGGAAACAGTGAGATGAAATTCCCACTGAGACTGCCGTATGTGACTCTGGGCTTTGATTGTGGACTTGAATGGTGACTGTAATACTGCTAATCAATGTATAATAAGTTCCGCAGGGTCAAAAAGAAAATACAAACCTTTTCTCTTAGGTTTGAAGATTCAGCCATCATTTCAAGGGAACCCACATCTTAGCCAAAACGCATGGGCTCTGCATCACAAAGATGGACAGCATGTTGATGGTGAGCTCAAGTGATAGACCCAAAGATGTTTGAATCAGATCCTCAAGTAATGTGCTCCCAAATTAGTCAGTTCTCCTATCATCTCAGGCCAAAGCGATGCCCCAAGCCTGCAACTTCTTACACAACATTAATCCTCCTCTCTCACACACACTAACACAACGATCCCTAAATCAGGTGACCATCGACATCAACAAGAAGACGAACAGCGCAACACCAAAGGGAAAAAGGGAAACCTGAAGTTGTCCTAACAAAATTCGGTGGCCTAAGAGCCACCAGCAACAATTCGCCGAATCATGGCGGCGGGGAATTACCAACGGAAGATAGGCAGCCAGGCTCGCGGTTCGTCGTTTCAGCGGTGCGCCGTGACGAGCGTCTCGATGAAGCGCAGGCCGTCGAACCGCGGCGCGAACCGGTCCCCACGGCGACCGCCACTATGACTGTTCTCCCTCGACACCGACGAGGATTCCTGTGGTGAAACAGGCGCGGATCGTCGCAATTAGCCAACCCTGATTCTATTCCACGATCCTTTCTCGGAAAGTAAATCGAGACGGAAGCGCTACCCTGTAAATCGCGCCAAACGAGACAAGGGAGACCAAGAATCCTTGATCCGTGGGAGACGCACCTCGTGGACCTCGTCGTCGTGGTGCTGCCGGGAGAGCACCAGCCCATCGCACCTTCCAACGGTCGCGGCAGGGGCGGCCGCCGGGGCAGACGAGTCGCAATCGCAGGCGAGGAGCTCGGCGCCAGACGCCGCCGCGACGGCCGCGGCGGAAGCCATGGCGGCTGCCAGCCCCCACTTCATCTCTCCTCCTGCGGCGTGCGGCGGTCGGCGGTCGGCGGCGGCGAAGCGAATCGCCTGTGGTCGGCGACTGGCAGACTCCCCGGACGGCCGGCTGACGAGGCTGGTCCACGCGTCACAGCGCAGGGCCAGGTGTGAACACGCGGGGAGCGCTTGCTTGCTGGCGACGAGTGTGGGGGATGGAGTTGGGAGGAGCGGCGGCGTGGGGTCGCGTATATAGGGGAAGGCAGCAAGGGTGGGCCCGGATTTGGCGCGCGGGATTTAACCCGATTGGAATCTCTCGTCGGCGCAGCGGGGCGGGGCCCACTGGTGGGTTCGCTCCGTCTCTCGTTTCAGTGGCGACCCGCCAGCGAGAGGAGGCAGGGATGGATCGCGCACGATTGGACGGCGTCGATCGTGTCGTGTCATCGTGTGGTCATGAGTGCGGCGTAGTATTGGCCTGTCGCCGGGGGGCGGTCAACGCCTCCACCACGCCGTGTACATCGTCCCGTTGACGTGGCGCTGCCAAGAAACAGGGCAACCGGACGCCACCATGCGTGCTACCTCGGCAGGCAAGGCAAGGACAAGATACAGAGTTTCAAAAAAAAAAAAAGGACAAGATACAGCGTTTGTGCATGCAGTCAAGCGAGCAGATCAGCAGATGACGTGTATGGCAGGATCCTTGGCTCGGCCATGTTAGAAACTACACCCCATATTCGATTTGTTTGAAACGCTTTTTTCGGTAGGAATAGTATTTTTTCTCACATGATAATTCAATGAAGCGGTGTTTTTCGGTAGGTTTCGGTGCAAGTTTCAGACTAGCGAATCAAGGGTATTGTGCATATACAGTACATTTATAAGGTTCACATGGACGTCCTAAGAGGAATTTACCAGGTGCCTCAACCCTAATATATTATATAGCCATCACGAAATAAGTGAAGGCCAGGTCAATCAAAACGATATAAGTGAAGAAATTTTGCATATGGACAGGAAGACGACATATGTAGTGTGAGGCAAGTCTTGTCATAATGCGGGAACTTTTCTTATTTTGTGTGTTCTATAAAAAGAAGTTGTTTACTATAAAATTCATGTACAATTCCCATAAAATTCATATATTTCAAAGGGGTTTAATATAATAGAAAGGGGAGGATAGTGAAAAGAACATACAAAGCAAGGATGGTCCTTCGTGGGAAGACATTGGACGATGAATGGTTGGATTGTACTAAGCCCAACCTCAGTGGAGATATCATGAGAGTTTCATGAGCATTAAATAAGCTATCAACTTAGCAAATATGCGGACATGACACAATATTGATGAAGAGAGAGAGAGAGAGAGAGTGGATGAAAGTTTCATGGGAGTAAAACAAATTTCAAGGGGATAAAACTAGTCTACTTGTTGGGGTTATAACCCCGGGGTATCTAAGGCATCGATTAGATGGCGGGCCGCATAGCTCACAACGCAACAACAGACAAAGGCCCAAATGACTGAGGCCCAGCAAAAGCCAAACAGGTCAGGCCAAGCACTGAGGTCGGGGTTATCCACGACCCCTTCCACTTGCCTTGGTCTCACCACGCTCGCAAGGCGTACGATCTCTCTCCATCACGACCTCCGAAAGAGATAGAAAGAGGTCGTGCCTTGCCAAGCGAGCCAACCCTGATAGGGACAAGCACGTCGCACTGACCCCGTAAGGACCAAGGTGACAGTAGTCACCTCAGCCCGATCAGACGCCAACCCTGTGCCACGCTGCACGGACAAGACAACATCGCCTCAAGGCGGTAATGACGGGTACAATGACCACTGACCGGGTATGGCCCAACCAGACAGGTATACGGTCCTACCCACTGCGAAATGGAAGCCACGCCAAGGGTCTCAGCGCAGAGGCCGACCAGGCCGGTTGAAAGCCAGACCCCAACGATCGGGGTCGTGGCCCTCAGTCCCGAGATACGACCAGACGAATGATGACCCAAGGCAGCAACCTGCTACGGGTATGACACCCTAGGGAACCTAGAAGCGGTGATGAAGACCATGACGGACACCGCGTTGTACAGGACAGCTGACGAACCACCGATATGCCTACAATGCCCACCACGATCGGCACACTAGCACCATGTCTCGCTCCGCCGCAACATGGCCACAAGACCATGATGACGGCCATGCCCGGGCGAGCACCAGAAGATGGCGTAGCTTGCAAGCGAAGTTAGCTAGCACCTCCCTCAAGCTCTCAACCCTTCGGTCAAGGAAACCTCCTCTTTGTAACAAGCCCTGGCCCCGAACTCTATATAAGGGCAGCCAGGGCTCCCATCTTGAGGATATTCTCATTCTTCATCTTCTACCATTCCATCCATAGTAGCGGGGCTCCTGGAGCTTCTCTTTGGGCTGCCCCTTGTCTAGCATAGGTTCTACCACCTCTTTCACCATTCTTGCACCCCCCATTGTAAGAACTTCAGAGCATTCAAACGAGGAACACGCACTCGATCTTGTCTAAGACTAGACGTAGGGCTCTGGCCTAAATCAGTATAAATCCTCATGTCTATTGGATTCTACCATCGTCTTTCAAGAGCAGCGCGGCAATCGCATAAATTTACTAGTCCGATTTATGAAACACCAACAGTTGCGTCCGGGTAGGGGACAGTCGTGCACTCTCAATTATTGAGAAGGAAGTGATGGCTCCCTGCACTCATATCGGACTCGCTCTTGGCACAGCCCCCGACGGTCGCATCCGAATTGGAAGCCTTGAGTTCGCCGATCACTACTAGAAATGTGTTCATCAATGATGATTCAGCCGTGACGCTTACAAATTTCATCACAGAACAAGCGCTTTCTATGACGAAATTTTCAGCTTCGTCATAAGTAACAAGTGACGGAGCTTTGGCATGAAGAATAATGACGAAAACAAAAGAATCGTCATAAAACAACAAAACTAAATTGTCATAGATCGTTTGGCTCGTGTACCACCTCGAGGACATGGCGCCGTGGTCCCACCAGCAGGTCCCACCTCGAGGACGTGGCGATGTGGTCCCACCATTGGGTCCCAACCTCGAAAACGTGGCGATGCGGTCCCACTAGCGGGTCTCAACCTGAGGACGTGGCGGTGAACAAGTGGGGCAGCGTGGCCCACACAGTCCAGGTGGACCTGCATCCTTCTGCCTCCCTTTTTTTTGCCAAAAAATAGCGCATGCAGGGAGATTCGAACCCACGACCTGCTGCAAGATATATTGGTGCGTTACCACTTGAGCACTCGCCGTTTTGTGATAAAGGCATGCATGTTTTTCTATTTGTAAACGTATAACATGATAATTGATGATTTTTTTCCTAAAATTTTCTAAAATCATTCTCTATCAATTTATTTTATTGGTTTTGTCAATGTATACATATGAAAAATTTGAGCAATTTAAATTTTGAATTTAAAAAAATGCAACTTCAGACAAGATTTTGGTTCCCCAAATGATTTCAGCTGAAAAAGTGATAAATACCAAAGTTGAATAACTCATCAAGATCTACAACTTTTGTATTGGTCATTTCTTCATATGACAAAGTGGTAACGACATTGTTCACAAATGTGACACATCTCTCATAAGGTTTTATAAACTATATGAGACATGTGTAAGATTAGTGAACAATGTATGCTAAGAATTTGTCAAATGAAGAAATGACCAAAATAAAAGTTGTAGATATTCATGAGTTGAACAACTTTGGTATTCATCGCTTTTTATGTTGAAATCAATTTGGGTCTCAAATTTTGGTTCGAACTTGTCGTTTTTCAAAAATTCAAATTTGAAAGGTTCAAATTTTGTCAAATGATAAATTGACTAAAATAAAAGTTGTAGATATTAATGAGTTGAACAACTTTGGTATTCATCACCGTTTATGTTGATATCAATTTGGGTCTCAAATTTTGGTTCGAACTTAGTCATTTTTTAAAATTTCAAATTTGAAAGGTTCAAATTTTGTCAAATGACAAGATGACCAAAATAAAAGTTGTAGATCTTGACGAGTTGAACAACTTTTGTATTCATCACTTTTACATCTGAAATCATTTAGGGTTTTAAAATTTAGTTTGAACTTGTCAAATTTCAAATTTCAAATTTTAAAATATGTAAAACATTGTCACATCCAAGTTTGATCAAACTTAAATGCTGAAGCATGATTTTAGAAATTTTTAGGAAAAAAACCATCACATCCAAGTTTTTTACGGATTTTTCATTTGAATTCATTTAATAACCGAAAATTAAAGATGAAAGTTCTCAAAAATTCAAAATAAAAACACCAGATATATTAATAGGCCTAAACCCTAAAATCGGCCCATTACTGTACTTGGCCCATAATTTGCTGGCCATTGATTCATGATCGAACGGCTACCATGCGCCAAGGAAGTATAAAATAGGGTCACCTCGAACCCTAACCCTCATCCTCTCTCATTTCTTCCCGTCACCAGCCGCCGCCGCCGCCCCTTTTCTTCTCTCCCGCTCTTCTCCGGCTGCAGCGCACGGCCGGGGCACTCCTCCAAAAGCAGCGCACCCCCACACTTAGATCCTTCAGGAGCTCATGGCCCAGGCCTCCTTACTGGCAGTGGCGCTCGTGCAAGCACGACCTCGTGCCCCTCCTCAAGCACGACCTCGCGCCCCTCCTCGAGCACGACCTCTAAGGGAGAGAGGCGGGCACGAGCTAGATACGAGGCTTCCTGGTGGTGGTGCCTGAGCAGCAGCCTGTCGTGGTGCGGGATCCTGTCCGTGGAGGTTGGGCAACACCAGATCCAGTGCATGGGCATTAGGCTCCTTTTTATCCCATCCGGTGAGCAGCTGTATCAGTAATTTTTTCTGAATCTGACATTTTCCAGCAGCTTGTGTTCAACATCTCAGTCGATCTGAATCGACATTTTTCTCATCTCAGTCTTCAGCAACCAGTGCGGGTGGCGCTAGATGCAGCACCAGTGCGGGCGGCGACGGCGGCGCTGGATGCGGCCACCATGGGCGGTGCGCTATGGGCGAGGCTCGAGCAGCGAGCGGCCGCCATCGCCGTGTGT